TCAAAAGTTTGTTGTGAAACAGAAAACCTTTAAAAAATTGTTCACTGTTCCATGATGTGTATTTAAGCATATTTTAACTTTATTTCAGATTTTCAGTCTAGTTATCCATTCCCATCCAACTAACCGCATTGGGTAAATCCAATCGTGGTCTCAACGAGAGCAACAACCTAACCACCCTGGTATCAGCTGACTCAACAGCACAATGCAATGCAGTCTCTCCTTTCTTGTTAATTGAATCAACGTCTACTTTCTCATTTGCCACATATCCAGCTACCGTATGCTGTGCGAATCGACATGCCACGTGGAGAGGAGTGTCTCCATTATCATCTCGAGCACAAATGTTGCCGCCTTTCATGTGTAGATAATTGAATACCTCAGCATGTCCGTATTTAGCAGCACAGTGCATTGCAGTTGTTCCATTTGGATCCGAACATGAGATTTCTGAATCGTGCGACTTTCTCACCGCGTTTGGAAGAAGTTTATGAAGGGCTGACAACTTGTGAAGTGCCCGTAGATTGCCTTCTTCAGCGCATATCAATGTGCAACTAGCCACGAGATCTTCAGGATTAAACCGCCCGTCTCCAATCTTTCTAGAAGTTTTTGAAGCCTTCAGAAGTACCATAACAAGTTCCACACATCGTTTCCACCTCTGTCTAGTTTTGAATGATTGGATATGGGATATTGTGATACAGGATGCTTTTCGAATATCGACTGCATTTCCTTCGGGTCCTCTGATCCATGGATGTTGAAGGCATTCTTCTACTGTGGCTCGTTGATCTACATCACGGACGAATAGTCGGGAAATGAAGTCTTTCGCGTGTTTGGAGGTGTTTTTGAAGTATCGATCAGAGAAGTGGTACCGTACTCGGGTGATGTTTGAGAAGGTCTCGTCACGATTGTCACCAAGGAATGGAGAACCGCCGGAGAGTCTGAAAATCGAATTTCAATTTGTAATTTCGAAAATTTTCAAACAAGTTAGCTGAAACTTTGAATTGCTAATATTTCAAAGATATAAATATGAACCGAGTTTTTGTCGATCCTTTTCAGTTTATTACAGTTTCAAAATCGACAAATTAGTTTCTCATTTGTATATATTTGCTGATACATGTGCACATCGGTAGCATTCGATGACAAACTGCTGGAAACATACATTGTGAAATCAAACATAATTAAAAAAGAAACTGATATGTTCATTTTTAAACTGTAAAAATTTTAAAATTATGTCACAAAAATTGAACCAATTGACGGACAGGGGTGCCCCTCTATTACAATTTTTTCGGTAATTGTAAACAATTTTTAGTATTGAAAAATCAAATATCACATTGATAAAAAAAATTAAAAAACGTCCTGAAACTGTAAAAACAGTTTTAAAAACTCACAAAATATAAGTGACAACTCCAACTGCCCACATATCCGTCGCCGGTGACAATGGCTCATAATTAACGACTTCTGGAGCCACAAACTCTGGAGTTCCGACCATGTCCTTCACAGTTGCTCCTGGCTCAATTTCTCGAGACAAACCGAAATCAATGATTTTGATATGTGACTCTCCGCGTTGTTTCAACATCACATTCTCTGGTTTTATATCCAAATGAACGATATGAAGGGAATGAAGATGCCGGACTGCCAGAAGGATTTGTTTGATGAATGCGGCTGCTTCCACTTCATCCAAACACTCTTTTGCGCAGACATGATCGAAGAGCTCTCCGCCGGATACTCTGAAAAAAATAATACTGTTTCGGAAAGAGGGTTTGAGCTATTTTGTGTTGTGGATGTATTAAGTTTTCCACAAATTTTTCAGGATTCCTGTGACATCTTTTTTTTTTGAGAAGTGAGTTTCTTAACTATCAAAAAAGTTGTAGGCATGTTAGCAAATCTTGAAACCAGCAGTTTGCTTTTCGTAGAACTCCGTATTAATAAAAATCTCGAAATGATTGAGGTCGTGATAGATTTCGGAGATTGTCCGTTTTTCGAGATTCTCCCTAATGAAAATGTTAGACCCAATAATGTCTGCAACGCCAGTTTAACTGGAAAATTATATGAAACAAAAGACTATGAAGATTTCGAATTAAACATTTAAATTTTTGAAGTATTTTAATTTCCGTATTTCGTGATCCCTGCACCACCGTTAAATTGATAAACCGTCTAAAAATTCTATGAAATCGGGATTTATTTTTGTTATCAAAATTTTTTACGGTTCCAATTTAAAGATTTACAATGAGTGTTTAAAATTATGTCACTATGTCAATTCATTTTTCAACACAAACTTATATTTTTTCAACAAAACAACAACTCACAATTCCAGAACAATGATAACATCACTGGCTGTTTCATAAACCGCATGTAGCTCAACCACATTTGAATGTCCTCGAATCTTCTGAAGAACTCGAACTTCTCTTTCGATATTCTGTCTTGTGACACCCCGCCGTGACGTTGCATATCTCCTCTTTTTGATGAATTTCGCCGCGTATCGTTCACCGGTTTTCTTATCCCGTACTCGACGGACAACTGCGAATTGACCGCTGAAAATTGGATTTCCTCATTAAAAGCTTGTCTTAAATTTCGATGATTGTTGTCACAAGTTTTAATGGATAGGTTAATTTTTCAAACATTATGAAGACTTGTAAAAACAGTTAAAAAATTTCAGACTTTAAAGGTGGGGAGACATGAAAAAAACGATTTTCTCGAAATTCCTTTTAAATATGCCCCTCGAGGAGTTGAACTTGTGGGGGCGAGGATTGAGGGTGCGGCGCCGCTCCCGACTGAGCCACGCGAAAAAGGAGAAAACGGCCGCCCGATTGCATACATAAAGGCGAGGACGACAGCTGTACGCAGAGTGACATTAAGCGTTGTACACCGTGACGGTAGAATGCATAGTCTAGCTACAAAAAAACTACGAAAAATCTCCTGTCCCCCCACCTTTAAGTTGTGATAAAATGTAGGAATTTTGAAACTTTTGAATTTCTTTCTGTTTCAGCCGTACAGTAATCCGCAAAAAAATCTGTTCAATCCAGTGTATCAGTATAATTCCACCCCATAAGTTTTTAATAAAAAGAAAAAAGAAGTTGTTTAGTTTTTGAAATGTTCTGAACCCTCTGGGTTTAAAAATTGCCCGAAATTTTGAATTTCATTAAAAAAATATATATCTAAACTTCTGGATTTCCGAATGAATTATGGAATTGTAGCTTTTCTGAACTTTCCGAAATTAAATCTCAAATTTTTCAAAGAATTCCCACTCTCCTTCCAAAAGGATTTCTTCCCCTTTATTCTCATTTTTCGTAATAGAAGAATCGGAGAGAAGTCAATTTGCAACACAGGAAATGGCTGCAATAAAATCGCCCAAAAAAGTTCATTCTCGTTCACTAGACAATGTTCTTATTCTTCTTCTTTTTACTACACTTTTTCGGTTGTCTTGCATATCAAAAAGAAGAAGAAGAATCTCTTTTGTTTAGAGAAACAGAAACCGCAAGAATGTAACAAGAAGCAGTCGTTGAATATTTTAGGGTTGAAAAAAAAAGAATCAGAAGAGATTCTTATTGACTAAAAAATGCAAAGTTGCGCTTAAAATGTGAACGACTATTAGGAAGTTTTGAATAAATTCGTTTAGAAATTTCCAAAAAAGAACTATTTATCAAGTTCGAAAATTTCGTTTTTTGAATAAACCAGAGTTTAAAAAATACAGTTTCCAAGATTGCTTTTAGACTTAGAAAACTGTTTCGTTTCAGTTCCATCTCTTCGAACGGAATTCATTTTATCTATTTGATATTTTCTGATACTAACAAATCTCCATTTTCAAAAATGTACTGTTTCAACAAAAAGTTGTAATAAATATGAGAAAAGGTTGTCATTTTTAGTTCGTTCTCCAGAAACCAGCTTCTACTGTTTTTCTTAGGAATTCACAACAAAAAAACTTAATGTAAATTTTAAATTTTTACTGCTTCACAATATTGATTGAAACTTATAGAAAAACAAAATTACTAATTCTCGAAGAAAATTTTATTGATGAAATTCTCCACTACAGTTATTGGTGCTCATGGAATCCTGGATAACAAAACTCTGGTATTTTTAGCTTGAATTTTGTATAAAACGCTATGAGTGAACATTTCAAAATCGATTCGACTTTTGAAAACGTACCGAGAATCTCAAATTAGCGATTTGAACATCTATAAAAAACTAAGCACCTTTTGAAACGGAGGAAAGCTAAATTTTTTTGATTTTCAACGCAGTTTTTAAATTGCTTCCAGTAAAGCGTGTTTCGGCAAATAAGTTTGAGAGAATAAAAGAGACTAGCGACTAACTTCGAACCAAGAAAAAGTTAAAAATTTTTTGAAACAGATTTTCAAATTTAAACCGAAAAGTGTTTTGCGAGATTCCTAGAAATTCGATTTCTCGCAAAATGCTTGTATTTACCGAAAACATTTGCAAATACCGATAATTTAGAAGCAGAGAAAATATTTTCGGTCTGCACAACTTTATTACTGTTTCTCTCTTTCGTCAATTATTCGATAGTTTTGGTTTTTATCGGTCGGTGACTTCAAAATAATTGAAATTCAAAATATCCTGTTTCACAAATGCAGGCCTTTTGATTTCTTTTGTTTATTCTGAAAGAGCTTTGAGTTTAATATAGGTCTTGCACGAAAATGGGTGCAAATTTTGAAAGTTTACTGCTTCACATTATGGATAAGAATTTATAGAAAACTTGAATTATTAGTGCTCGAAAGACAACAACTGATTGGAATTTTGACGGAGTTCTGAAATTTTCAGGTTGAATTTTTTTTTCTCGGTAAAGCAAAAACTATGAATAAACGTTTTGAAAATGTATTCGCTTTTTGAGACCTAGAATGAGTTTTGAAGCAGGAACACTCTGAATAGCCTATTGAAAATTTAGAAAAAGTTGAACATCTTGTGAAACAGAAAAAATGTTAATTTTTTTGCGAGATTCTTGGAATTTTATTCTTGTAAAATCCTTGTGCAACTTTGTTTACTGCCAAAAATGGAACAATTTTTGCGAATATAGAAGCAATAATAATAGTAGGATCTCACAAGACTTTATCACCGTTTCACAGATTTTTCAATTTTTTGATAATTTTTTTCACCAGTTGTAAGGTTACAATATGAGTTTATTCCAGAGTGTTCACAACAAAAACTTAGAAAAACTACTGAAATTACTAAAAGAACATTTTCTTTTACAAAAAGTTATTTATCTACGGAAATTTTGAAAACTAGAATGAGTTTCACAGTCAAGAACAACCACAATACCAAAAATTGAAAATCAATAAATATTAAAAAGCTATCGAAACAGAGGAAAATTTCAGAAAAAAAATCATTTTCATTTGCGAAGAAGTTTGTTGCGAGATTCCCGGAATTCCAATTCCTGTCAAATTCTTGTAAAACTTTGTTCGCTGGCAAAAATGAAACGTTTCCGAATTTCAGGAATTTGGTAGCGGAAAGACTATTTTGTTCCCACAAAATTTTATTTCTGCTTCAGACTTTCCTTAATTATTCGAATGTTTTGTTTTCACCAATTTTTCCGGAAAGTTACTATCACCCAAAAATTCAAGTTTATTCGAAACAAGCTATGATCTTTTTCTGAAGTGTTCACGACAAAAGTTGAGAATTGATCAGAACTTCTAGAAAGAAAAAAAATCTTCAGTGGGCTGTTTATGTGAAAACTTTTCTTTTTGCCACATTTTCTGGTACGAATTCGGAATTTTCCAGATCAATTTTTTTCAAAAAAAAAAAGAGTTAGTTTTGAAGCTAAAGCAATTTATGAAATGACAATTTGAGAATATAGAAAAAATATATAAACTTTTCGAAACAGGGAACTTTAAAAAAGAAATTCTGACTTTCATACCGATAAGGATTTTAACTTGATTTAAGGGATTCAAATTCTTTGAAATTCTTGTAAAACTTCGTTTTCCGGCATCTGTGAAATAGTAGCAAACTCAAAGAATAATAGTTCCTAGAACATTTCTACTGTTTCCAAAATTTTCAATATTCCAATAATTCTGGTTTTCACCAGTGCGCGAGAGGAAGAATTATCTAAATGTATTCGAAGTTCAAAAATATTCTATTTCGCAGGTTTCAAACTTCATCATTGAGTTATCGCAAAGCCTCTAATAGAGTTACACCCTGACTGTCAACTCTAAGCCAATTTTTTTCCCTCCGGTAAACCTAACGGTCTATGTGCAACTCTATTAGGGGTTTTACGAAATCTTTGAAATATCTAAAAGCTACCAACCTTCCTAGTTCTGTTTCAATATCGAAGACATCTTCGAACGGCATATCGTCGAAGTGAACATTTGAAGACGTTGCCGAATTATTGACGTCATCTGACATTCTGACACATCTAACTGTAACAAATATAGGGTTAATATTCAAATGGAGCGCAACAAAAAAGGAGAGAGAGAGAGAGAGAGAGAGAGAGAGGGAGAGAGAGAGAGAGAGAGAGAGAGAGAGAGAGAGAGAGAGAGTCATTGAAGTTTGAAAATTCTAGATTTTCAAAAACTAGAAGATAAAACAAGAGGACGACTAGTTGCATAGTCATAAATCAATAAATCAAGCTCATCGGAAAACTCAACGAATACTCTAGAAATATCATCAAGAAGAAACAATCTTTCAAGAGTAAAAACCAGAGAGAAAACATGTGGAATAAATGAAGAAAATGGGCGAACAGGAAATAAAAGAAGAAAGGAGAGAGAGAGAGAGAGAGAGAGAGAGAGAGAGAAAGAAAAAATGAGGGAAAATGAGTGTATTTGATGGAATTGGATCAGCAGCCAAGTGAGAGAGTGGTAATACAGTGAAGGCGCGGAGAAAAAAAGATGCGAGAATGAAAAAAAACTGAAGATGGTTTGGGGAATTCAAGTGACTGCATTTTTCAGGTAAATGGTATTAGAAAGGTTTTGATTTTTAGATTGATAAGAAGGAAAAAGGTTTTTTGGGTTCTGCATTTTTTTTGTATTTAGAGGACATTAAGGCGAAGGAATTGCTCTTTTACCAATACCTGAAAGAACATTTTTAAACAATCAATTTTCAATTTCAAAACTTTGATATATCAGTTTCTTGAAGTTCAATTAATAATAATCCAATAGGGCTTTCCAAAAATTATTTCCCTCCATAAGATAGAACTGAGGAAGCACAATGTTGTCTTACTGAAATAGCAAATTTTCGTACAATAGTAGTTCTTGCAAACATCATTACGTAAGAATACAGACGAAACTCAAAAAGGCTTCATATCATGTAAAAAAGTTTTTTAGAATTTCTAGATATCTGAAATTCAAAAAAACTGGTACTAAAAAACTAAATTATCTAAGTTTCAAAGAGCAGTTAAAAGCTGAGGCCCCGTTGTGAAAAATTAATACACTTTGATTTCTTTTTCAAAATTTTTCCTAAAAAAGGTCAGTTTTCGAAACTAAAGACCTCTCATTAACACTCTATGATATACCAATTATGAAAAACTGGAATTCAAGTTTTATTTTTTCAAATAAAGCTGAAATTTCCTTTTGAATATTAGTGTGTATTACTTCATGAACTTCCACTTTATCAAAGAAAATGATCAGAAATCATATCAAGTGCTTTGCTTCCTCCTCCTTTTTTTCTTGTATCGTAACACCCCAAAAAACCAGTACAATAAATTTTCGATAGCGTTAAACAAAAAAAAAAACGGACACAAAAAATGAGAAGATAGAAGAAGTGACGAAAGAAAAGAGGCATAAAATAATGCCTGCTTCTAGAAATCACGCATTTTTTTAGTCACTAAAACAATTTATGACTCTCTCTCTGTGTAGAATATGGGATATAAGTGAATAAGAAACAGAGATATAGGTGTGTATGTTTCTGAATTGAATATCTAGAGAATTAAAAATATCTAAAAACGATTTGTAGTGAATTCTGATAAATTCGAAAAATCTTCCCAAGTTTTCGAAACAGAAAAATTTCTAATTGAAGGTGGGGGAGATTTAAAAAAAACATTTCTCGAAATTCCGTTCAAACAAGCCTCTCGAGAGTTGGAATTGTGGACCCAACCCTGTAGGTGCTGCATCGCTAGTAGCTGAAGTGTTGCAAGATGTGAGAACAGTAATCATTGTACACCGTCACGTCAGAATGCATACCGTCAAAGTGTCTTTTTTAAAACAGAATCTAATTTTCATTTGATTCGACCCAATTTAAAACTGCTTGGGGTCCCCTAGATTATGTAAAATCTGAAAAACAAGTATAATAAAACGGCAGAAAATTTTTAAATTTCAAATTCGAAAGTTGAGTACTTAATCCTGAAATCAACTTGATTACGAACGCCAAAGCTTATAGAAAAGTTCTGAGTCGCGAAAATTTGGAAAATTCAGTTTTTGAGGGTTTATTTTTTAAATTATTAGAAATTTGAGGAAAAAATAGTGAGAAAAAACTGAAATAAAGTAAATCCTGCAATTTACATTTAGACCCAATTATAAAATTCCTTCATGGAAAATATTTAACATAAAACCTGAAGACCCCTAGCTTTTAACTTTGGGCCGAATTATCTCGATTCCTGTAAAAGCTTTCAAAAAGTTGTCAACTGTTAAATTGTTTATCATAATACCACAAACATTTCATCAGTTGACACATTTTTGATATCTTACACAGGAACTAAAAAAAATAACTTTGACTTGACAGTATGGTGGCCCTTCTATTACAGGTTTGACGGTAACAAAGCTTTTAAAAATCTAAAATTTCCGTATCTTCTCTGAAGATTATTATTGATATGAAAGATGAGTGCGAAGAGTGATTGAAGATATCCCAGACAACTTGTCTTCTTCTTCTTCTTTTTCTTCAGATTTCCGAAGAAAGAGCAACAAAAATGTGTAGAGTGTAATATGTTTTGGAAGACGGAACGAAGTGATTGACTGACTTGGGGGCAAAATAAGAGGAAGAAAATGGATAAGAAGAAGAAGAAGAATGAGGAGATAAGAAAATGAACAAAGATGATATTTTTGGCATTCTTTAGGGCATGGGCCCATGGGATAAAGAGCCATTTGGACGAACACACTATTTTTGGAGGAAAGAGGTCAAAAAACGGTTGAGAAAGTTTAATAAAAAAGGATTTTTTGGTGAAAAATAGATAATTTTATCCTTCATTTTCAAACAAATCTTTCGATTTATATTAAAATGGTTTTTCCATGATTTTTTTGTTCCATGTTTTTTTCAAGGATATTCGAAGACGACATCTGTAATTCGACAAGAATTTGAATACAAATTGTATTATACGATTGAAAGTTAAGTTGAGATACTAGATAGTTGAAAAAAATTGATTTTCATTTTCCAAGACTTGCCCAATTAAAACTCATTTATTTCAATTGACAGTGAAAACTTCAAAATTAGCATCCAAAATTGTCAAAAAAAAACTGTTTCACCTACAATATTCAGTTCGAGTTTCAATGTTTTTTTAATGGGTGTCCTTTCCCGGAAGCCTATAAAAATTAGAATAAAAACATAGTAACCTCTCTAAAATATCCGAAAATGACCTAGAAAAAGATCGTGACTGTTTTTCATACTTTTTGGAGGAAAGAGGTCAGAAAACGGGGGGGGGGGGGTTTGAAAAACAAGGGGGAATTTTCTCATTTATTTTTTCGATCTTTAGGCTAATGCCACTTGGGTTCAAGCCAATGGGTCAGAAATCGCGCCCCAGTAAACGTGAAATTTTAGACAAAATTCGCTGCTGAACTATGTGGCTGAGGATCAAATTTTTAAACGTTGCACGAAAAAATCACGCGTTGCAACTCTTTGATTAAAACTAATTAGGTCAAATCCACGTCAACTTGGAAACTACTAAATTTCTTCTGGCCTAAAAGTTATTTGGGGCGCGTTTTTTGACCCATTGGCTTGAACCTAAGTGCTAATCTAATGATTTGATGTTTTAAAGATTACTTTTTGGAATGCCAAAAAACTTTGTAGCTCTCCCTATTTTTGGAGGAACGAAGGAAAAAAATATTAAAAATCTTAAATTGAAGGTTTTTAGGGGAAAAATACTAATTTTCCCATTCATTCTCACGATTTGCAAGCTATTTTAATGCTTAAAATTTTTAAAAAGCTACTGATTCGAATAATTTCATATTTTGCAGACACTCTAATAAGATTTCAAAAACACAGTTTCACCTAGAACATTAAAACCCAGAATTCCGATTTTTCTTAATTCATCGTTGGTAGGTCTTTCAAACACTTTAAGCACTGTTAAAATGTCGTCAGACTGCTAGAATAAGGCTTCCATTCGGTCGGGAAATTTAGCCGACCGACAGACCACCGACCCCGCCGACCGACAGCCGACCGAACTGACCGATCGGTCGGCGCGCCGACCGTTTTCGTGCATTTGCGCATCAACGTGTTTGCATACTCTGCATTGTATTTTACGACAAACTACTCACTATTATTCTTGTGCAAAAAAATTGGAGTTGTGGCCGAATTTTCACACAAGTTAGGCCGCCGTATTTCAAGGAGAATTTTCGAAAACACAGCCGGCAAACGAGTGCTACCGTAACCCAACAATAAATATTTTCGCAAAATTTTTGTCTTATTTTTTCCTTTTTATCGATTTTGCTCGAT